AATAATCGAGATTAATTGAATGAAAAAGATCGTCGAGAAAAATAAGACAAGTTGCGTCAGTAATTATGACAGTTGACATGTAATAATTTTAATACTAAGTACAATAATGCATAAATATTATGATAATATTAATAATAATAATTATTATTATTATCATTATTAGATATTTGGAGCCATGGGAAGTGTTCATACAATGTTAATGGCGTACAGTGACACGAAAGAAGAGGGTTGCTGACAATGTTCCCAGACGAATAAATATTTCAATCTATCGTTTGCTATCAATCGATAAAAAAAAAAGAGAAATGAAAAGAGAGAGTATGTTATGATCATATGCTTACCATGATTGCATAAGAAATGAACCAAAAAGACGTGATTGGTCGCGCCTCTTTGAAATCGAGTGCATGTGAATGCAACGGAGACCAACAGATGCACCAACAGATATCATATCGAACGATCGATTATTATTAAAAAGAAAAAAAAAAGAATAATTAGTTATAAATTTATTATAAATTAAGTAAAACGCTTTTTTTTTCTGTTAAACATTTTAAAACAAAATTATGATATTTGCTATAATAATGATAATAATAGTAAAATAAATGAGTAATTTATTAATGTTATATATATATATATCACAGAAATTCTGAAATTTGTTTACTTGGGCAAATCTATTATCCATCTATATCCATCTATTATTTAAAAATATTTGACTAGACAGATAGAGAGAGGAAAACAAAGAAAGAGAGAGGAGGAGATTGGCCGAGAACGCGAGAAACGAGAAAATAACAAAGAGCAAAACTCGCAACAGGTTAGAAAGAAAAAAGTGGAAGGTGAAAGGGATTGAACGAAGTGCAGCCCAATGTGTAGGATCTCAGAATCGAATTAATCGAAGTTTAAACTTCTTCAGAGTGTTATATTATATTTCATAAAAAGAGAAGGTTCTAACAAATTTCCATTTTTTTCTTTTTGCAATATTTTTATCATCTGCTTATTCTTTCAAAAACACATTTAGAAGCATTAAGAAAAAATATCAAGTAAATATCTTCCTATTTGCTTGATAAATTAATATTTTAATCAATGACGAGCAGAAAAGATTGTTTAATAAAAAAAGTAATAAAAAAAAAAAAAAAAAGAAGAAAAGAGTGGAATAAAGGAGAAAAAAAAGAAATAAATGGAGACTATAAATAAACGGTAAGAGATAATGAAAATAAAGAAAAATACATCGAGTTGATAAATTGCAAATTTTTGTTTTCTTTTTTCTTTTTGGTTAATAACAGAAAATAAGAATAAATAAATATAGAATGAAGGAAAGGTGTGAAAGATAAACCTATTGTATACCGATGATATACCGATGATATACCGGCTAATAGAAGGACACAGAGAGGGTCGTCCTCGTGGTCCCGTTCCCCCCACTTCTCTTTCTCCTCGTCAATTGCTCATACCGTTCTGCAAAGAAGTCGCATTGAGAACTGTTCGCGGTAGTCAGTCATTCACGTGCGTTGCCTACACCTATCGGTAGGTAGGTAGGTAGGTAGGTAGGTAGGTAGGTAGGTAGGTAGGTAGTTAGGTATATATAAACCTGCCTAACGTCCAAGAAATTGCCCAGTCGTGCTTCGTTTCTCTCCACGGAATCCAAACCAACGACGGATTCCACCACATCCATTTTATTGGACTATTTCGTTGCAATCATAGTTCTGTGTTATATATTTTTTGGTTAAATTCACTTTTTAACATTACAACATAATATTTGTCTCTTTGTTTTATATTTAAAACAAAATATTTTTTTCTCTTTTCTCTTATTTGAATTTTGGAAAAGCTTTTATTGTTCTTTTGTATTTTAAATCCTAAAACTTTGTAACTGATAATTAAAGATGATATTGGTCGAGTATTATTAATGGAAGATGATAAAGTTCGAAAATTAGATCAGAGGTCACACGTGATACACCTGTTGCATCAAAGAGGATTTACGTTTTGTGATCCTTCCCACCAAGTTTACTACTACTACTACTACTACCACTACTACTATTACTACTACTGTTGCTGCTGTGTGAAAGAAACGGTGACTCTGTTACGTCGTAACTGCATCAACGGTGCTTTCTCCTGTGCGTCATCGTGAACGAGCAAAAGAACATTGCCCCGTTTTGTTCACAACCCTCATTTCGAAAGATCGATTTAAAAAGAAGAAGAAGAAGAAGAAGAAATAAGATAGAAAGAAAAAACAAGAAAAAATGGAGGGAAATTTGATGAAATAAATTATGACCACCACGTGACAGATTAATCAACGATCAATTAAATATTGTCAATTGAAAAAATCATTTCATTAACGATCCTGTATCTTTCAACACGGTTTATTATTATTTTCTCAACCATCTATCGAAGAAAATATTAATTAATATAATTTGCTACTACGTCTGTGATATAAAAGTAAGTATAGTATTTTATTGTTGTATTTATGTGTGTACGTGTACATATTTGCGTAAACGTGGTGTGTTCACATTCGTGTGAACATGCAAATTCTATTATCGTTCTAACTATTGTTTAGCATCTACTGCCACTTTATACAATCGAGTTTCTCTAATGTTACTTTTTAATAAGACTTTCCATTCACTTATACGAATTTTTAGTTTATATAATTTTATTTTTTTTTTTTGATAATCCTTTTTTGATTCTATTCAACGTCATTAATTCGAATTATTGATTTATCACGTCATTAATCAATTTAAAATTATATTGAAATTTTTTTTTCCATTAAAATATCAACAATATTACACTTGTTTAAATAAATCACTATATGATTCTTAAGTATTTCCAAAATTATTCTTACTTGAGTTATTATTTATCGTTATTCGTTTAACAGTTGTTTTTATTCATTGTTGTATTTTATTCAGTATTCATGACTCCAAATTTTCTTTTCATTTTTATTTTTTTTATTTTTGTAATATAAAAATTCATAGAATTTCTATTTTACGAATAAACAATGAGTAGACAAATATGCAATTTTTCTTTGACGAAGTCGAACAACTTCTAACTTCTTTTGCTCTCTCTTTCTCTTATTATCATTAAATCAATAATCGTAACGATGTTTGAGGTATCGTTTTGTGATAAGAAAACTCATGATAGTATTTACATTTGTTTAATTATACCTTTTCTGCATATGTACGTGATGCAATTTTACATTCATTTTACTTTCATACGATTACCGTTGAAAAAGCCTCAAGGCTTTACGTAACATTATGATCGAAAGTTCAAGTTCAATTTTTTCCCAATCACTTCTACTTTTATTTTCATCTATTTTGACAAAAGAATTTCGATATAATTGATACCAATGGATAATTAACGAATGATAGTGAATTTAACACTAGATTTACGAATTGAGCCAATTTGACTCATTGAACATTTGATTATTTTATATATTTATAAAATTTAAATACTATTTTTTGAAAACTTATTGGTTTTTAGTTACGTAATGAAATATACGTAAATATTAGTTCAATTCCTTTACTCAATCCTTTATTCAAACAATGTTATTACGTCATTAAAAAATAATGAACAAAACATCCGTAAATCTAGTGTTAAAAGAAATTTTTTATCCTTCAATCAATTTAACCAAAAAACAAATTATCTCTTGGGTAATAACAATTTGGAAAAAATACAACTAATTGACACACCTACTTATAAATATGTGTATAATAATCAAAATTCATCAAAATATATCTATGTATATTCAATCATTACTCTAAATATATAATTGATTATCTCATTAGATTGTAAATTCAATTCAATAATTAAATAATACAGACATATTATTTTCTTTTTTATTTAACACAATTATTGATATATTTTATATTATTTTTTATTTGTAATATATTTATTTGATCATATTTTATTGACAAAATATTAAACAAAAATCTACGCAAGTATCATTTAATTATAAATTAATTTAGAAAATTTTAATTAAATAAAAATAATATATATACAGAATTTAAGTATCTATTTAACAATAAAAAGAAAAATTTCTATTGGTAGGTGAATTGAAGTATATTTAGCCTAATATACAGAAATAATTTTTATATTTTTACAACAAAATTCATTTCTATTTTATTTCACTTTTATTTGTTTTTTTTTTTTTCAGTCTTAAAACTTGTTAACCAAACCACGTATAAAGTATATTTAATATTTAACGGAGATAACGGATTATCGTAAGACTAAAAAGTTTAAGAGGTCGGGTGGAGGAAGGTGGGTAGAAAATATTTACAAGGAGAAATATTCGGATATGTTATCAAGTTTTTAATAGTATTAGTAGGTTTTAATAATCATGAAATAAATGTTTCAATAGTCAAACCATAGATTAAAAAAATAAGCAATTAAAAAAAATTATGAACATTATAATAATAGTTATAATTGTTAGATATGAAATTAAAATTAAAGTAATTTGTTAACCTTTGAATTGAAATTAGAAAGGTAGCACAATAATGAACAAATAATTGATTAAATATTTTTCCCTGTAACATAATTTTACATTATATATATATATTTATTATATTTGATAATTTTTTACGTTCCTCGTTATCCAAAGTAACGAATTGATATTTCAAGACGGTACATAAGTACACGAGTATTTTATCATCACTTTTAAGATAACAACAGACAAACTTCGATGCCATACTCGATTATATCAATATTTTTATTTTACATGATTAATACACATATATATATATACGTATATACGTATATACGTGCATGTATACCCATAAATCGATGCATAAGTTTGTATATTGTTTTTTCTTTCTTTTTTTTTTTTATGTATTATTGCGTCAACCATTTGTGTAAATTATCAGAGACATAAAAAATAAAATAACCAATTCATTAAGCAATTTTTCCCTGCAATACGTGTTTTACATTTAAAAAAACAAAAAAGAAGAAACAAAGAAGAAAAGAAGAAGAAAAGAAAATATATGAATAGGATAATTCATATGAATTGTTGTCATTTTTGTATTTACTTTGCTTGGTATTGTATGATCGATTTGATTGATAAGAATATCAATCGCAGCATTCAATAGCATTCCCTAACACCTAAAGATTAATTTTATCAAAAGTCTTCAGAAGCTACGACCAATATCGCGATAAGCATTTTTAATTGAAAAATTTTGTTACCTAGTTAAGTGAAAAAAAAAGACGTCAAATTAATTTCTATCGTGATAAATATTGAAGGACTTTCAAAATTATTAGATCTTCTATTAATTGAAATTAATACAAATTCAACATGATAATTCATGGCTTTTATAAATCCAATAATCTTGTCTACGATCTTCGATAATACAACTTTTTCACATTTTGTTGTTTTATTTTTCTCGTCACGTTTGTCGTTTAAACTTTAAATGCACGTGACTGCAATAGCATCAAGAATGAACACATTTCTCGTGTGTTCATAAAAATTCAATAAAATTCTTTTTTAAGAAAACAAATAAGTGTGTGGCTGTGTGCGTGTGTGTGTGTGTGTGTGTCGATGATCATATTTCAATTATTTCAATTAATAATTAATCATAGTAAATTCGTTGAAATTCATTTGAATATTATGCAATATAAGTAGAACATTTAATTTTCTTACCCAAGCATTCAAGTTTCCTACGATCAGCACTTTATCGAAGTAACGAACCTCCATACATAACATAAATTAATTTCTTATAATAAATTTAATTTCATACATATATTTAATTTATATAATGTGTGAAATATTTTCAGTAATGTTATTTTTGTATTTTTTAGAATAACAAACAACATGGGTAAAATAGAAAAAGAAGCAGAATCGAGCGGTGAAATGATGAAAGATTTTAACAGCAGGTAATAAAAATAACATATTTGTTTTCGATCACGCACATTATTTTCTTATTTTTCTTCTCTATTATTCAAATAAAAAAAAAAACCAAAAAAAACGGAAATGTCAGTTTATTCGTAAGGTAAAGAACGTATTTACCTAATTAAATAAAATCATGATTTACCGATAGGAGGATATCTCTTGACAAGAGGGGTTTATGTAGTTCAATACGTTTCTCGATCAGATTAAAAAATAATCGGAACGATCGAGGAGACATGTAAATCGATAGAGATGTGTTCGACAATGTTTTTCTTTATTTTGTTTTCTCTCTTTCTTTTTTTTTACTCTTTTTTATCGTGTAGAAAACGAACGAATGATAAACATTGAAATTCGTGTATCTTGCACAATAGAATATATATTTGTTCAGCGATTAACTCGATAATAATATCACTCAATTAATTCTTGTCTTTGTTCTTTATTTTATCTTCTTTATTTTGTCTTTTCATTTAGCACGAAGATCGCTGCGATCTCGATCGGCGATTACAACGAGAAGGATGAATTTTACGATCCCTTCGAACATAGAGACAAAAAACATACCAATTCGTAAGTTTATTTTCTAAGAGATTCAAATTATGATTGGTGATCTTCGGATCATCTCGGATATGATAGTTTGAAAATTGTTAAGCCTATCATACCAAAAATCACTTTTATTTCAAATAAACAAAAGAATAATATGAATATGAAATTGATCATTTGTAGTGACTTTGGATCGTTAGCCCACCTTTTGAAATCATCCCTCGGTACTGGTATTTTAGCGATGCCTAACGCTATTAGAAACGGTGGTCTCGTAATCGGTTCATTTGGGACCATAATCATTGGTATCATTTGTGCTCATTGCGTACACATACTCGTCCGTTCCTCTCACATACTTTGTAAACGTACAAGAACACCAAAGATGACGTATGCCGAGACAGCCTATGCTGCTTTTTTGTGTGGACCTAAACCTTTAAGACCTTGGGCGAATGTCAGCAAAATATTCGTAAATACAGCACTGTCTGCGACTTATATAGGCGGTGCCTGTGTTTATGTTGTTTTCATTGCCACTACGATTCATCAGGTTAGTTGGTTGATTTAATCACCTCTGTTAAATGATCTAATCGTTTCTATTACGCAACTGTAATTATTTCATGTCGGTATTCCTATATACTGCATCGAATGTAATTTACTCTTATTTACATTAAAAAACAGCAATTATAAGGTGTAATAAATTTATTTTTAGATTGCCGAGCATTATAATGGAATTAACACGATAAACAAAGTTTCCGTAATGTTAGCATTGATACCAGCAGTTATATTATTAGGACAAGTCAGAAATCTTAAGTATATGGTACCTTTCTCGATGGTTGCCAACATCAGTATGTTTGTCGGTTTCACGATGACTCTTTATTATATCTTCAAGGACATCAAACCTATCGATAAAGTCAACATGTTCCCGGAAATTCAACAATTACCGATATTCTTTGCTACTGTCGTATTTGCCATTGAAGGAATCGGTGTCGTAAGTATGAACTTTTCCATTGGTTTTTCCGATTAAAAAAGCATCTTTGCTCACGTTATGCAATTTCTACGAATTCATGTGAGAATTTCATATGAAAAAAGAAACAGAATAAATAAACAACAAGTAATAAAGACAGCAAACAAATAATTTTGATTAATCGATTTATATGTATTAATCATTTTTATTCGATTATTATTATTATTATTATTATTAGGTAATGCCAGTGGAAAATAACATGGAAAAACCGCAACATTTTCTTGGGTGTCCCAGTGTACTCAACATAACAATGTCCATAGTCGTCACCCTTTACGCAGTCATTGGTATCTTTGGTTATCTGGCTTATGGGGAGTACACCGAAGCTTCTGTCACGTTAAACATTCCAGTGGAAGATATGTAAGTTGTTTGAAATGTTGCTATTAAAATCAATATATTTAAATCATTCCTTATCCTTCGATACTCTGTAATTTGATATTATAATGAATTTTTTTTCCATTGAAATAATTTTGCTATTAAAAGATTCTCATTCACAATGAATAAATAATAGACACATAGCTTTGAATTCTTTAGAAATAATTCTCATAAATTTTCCATTACAAGATATCTTTTAAAATGACAGAACGGATTTATTGAAATTTTTTATAAAAATACTACCTGTTAGAAGATGTTGATTTAATACAATTCTAAATTATTTAATAAATTATAACGACACACAAATAATAGCACAATTACAATGGAATACATAAAATAATAAATCCTTAAATTAGCAATAAAAAATAAAAATATTCCAGATAAAAACTATCCTGTATACTAAATTGAACAAAAATCACACAAAATAGAAAAAATGTTATTAAGATCGGCTCAGTAATTTCAAAGTTCATTGAAAAGCAACAATTTGACACTGAATTTTTATATATAAAGATTGTTTTGTTTGTTTGTTTAAGTATGGGTCAAGTGGTGAAACTGTTAATCGGTTTGGCTGTTTTATTCACATACGGGTTACAACTTTTTGTACCATTGGATATAATATGGAACGCAATAAAGACGAAATTTAGTCACAAGTATGAAGCGATTGGTGAAATCACTTTAAGGACATTTGTCGCTTTACTGACAGGTATGTATATGTGTATATTTATTGGTCTTGTTCTTTTTGTTTTTTTTTTTTATTTTCTTAACAAATATGTCTGACGTTTTATGGCGCGTTATATTGCGTGGCATAAGTGAAACGAATGCCAGACGGCGCGTCTTACTTTCCTAAGGTAAGAAGAGAGGAGAGTAGGACAGGTAAAATACTCGTTTAACCAGCGTACCGTATCGAGTATGACTCAGGATCAATTATGAAAAACGTACCTTCCATGATTTTGTATTAACTATTTATCAATCTATTTTATCACTTTTATTTTATATATCAAAATCTATTCTTTTTTTACTTTTTCTTTTTTTCTTGTATATATAACTTATTACAAGAAAAATAAGTCATGTTTAATTGATCTAACACAATATTATTTATATTTTCAAGCATTTATATTTAATATTTTAATATTAATATAAAATTGAGATAATATATATTAATCGCATGATAATAAATTTAATAAATCAAATTATTAGCTTATAATGATGTGGATAAAATTGCGTTTAAATTTCGATTAACGTTAATTCCTATTCATTTACTTAATGCAAATACTTTAATTGAGCATGAAAACAATTGCCATACGTCGCATGACGCATAAACCCGAAGAATTGATCGTAAAGAAATAAAACATATAGAGTGAGTCGCCCAATCATTTGGCCTGAATTGTTCGGAACCATGTCACGTACTCGTTAACTCGGTTATAAAAAAAAAAAAAAAAAAGACGGAAATTAAACTGGCAACAGCCTTGATTTATTCCGCTTCGATGCGGTCCAGATCAGTTTGTTGCTAATCATGAAATATAGTTAAAACCTTGTTTCAAATTTTATTTTTGTTTCTTTTTTGTGTGTGCTCATTGTCTACCTACCCTATTTGTTCTTCCTGCTTTCGTTAAAGTATTCCTACTCTTGATTGTTCTTGTGTGACTGACATTCCTTCCATTCATTTCATTTCTTTTTATTTTTTGTTTCTTCTATTCTTATCGATAAATGAGTACCATTAGCATTTTAGCGAAAACTTACGTAAAGAAACATTAAAGAATACTAAATACGAAAAATACGTTGAACTAAAGTCAAAATAACTTTTTCTCAAATTTTCTATACCGTCTTGTCACATATTGTTGTAACATTTTAGTTACAAGTAGTACTCATTTTCATTCAAAGGTTATTTTGAATTGTTAAAATCATAAATAAAAGATATAACATTGAAAAACAAGTGAAATATTTGAAATGGCAATAAAAAAAAAAATAAAAAAAAAACACACAAAAATTCCAATTTGTAGCAATTAAATTGTAATAATAATTTGATTATTTGTATTGTTTGTTTTCAGTTGGAATAGCTGTAAGCGTGCAAGAATTGGAACCATTTATATCATTGGTAGGTGCAATATTCTTTTCCATCTTGGGAATCAGTATACCTGTGATAGTTGAAACTATTTCATGCTGGGACGGTCATTTGGGTGCGTTCAAATGGAGACTCATAAAAAATAGTTTATTATTCATTTTTTCGATGATGGCATTGGGATTTGGTTCGTGGATATCCATCAAGCAAATAATTCAAGTTTACAAAAAGTAATTATCTACATTTGTAACAATGATAAATTTCTTACTATCTTTTTTTTATTTGTTTTTTTTTTGCGACGTGACATTACTTGCCATATGAAAAACGTGTCTTGTACAAAAATAATTCAAGGAAAACTGTAGATGATAGGAGAAAATTTTCGAAGGTGATAACGAAAGAGAAAAAAAGAAAAAAAATACGGAAAAATGCGACATGTATTAAATTATGTCGAGACTTAGTTACGTTTATCATATTTTATTAATTCTCGCTATATAAACCATTTACGTCAGAGATAATCTCTATTTGTCAATCATTAGTGCCGACTGTAACAGAAAACGTTTATATTAGTTTAATGATAATAATTTGTCTTTTTATTTTTTTTCCTATTTTTTTTTTGCTTCGTTCTTTTTGTAGATATGTATATTTTATAAATATTATATTTTTATTTAATGTTTATTAATAATATTGATATGAAGGTTGAATCGTGTTAGTCACAAAAAATTAATCAAAATTGGATTTCTAAAACTTATTTTTGTTAACATTTTTTTTTCTTAAATATCCAATTAGATTCGATCTGCATTTTATATTAGAAATTAAAAAAAAAAATTAATTATTGTTTGTCGTATAAATTTGTTAATATAAATTGTATATAAATAGTTTATAAGAATTAGTGTTGAACAATATATTTATATTTAATTAATAATTAATTTTTACTATATTAAAAGTGAAATATATTCCATCATCGATTATCGACTAATTAAAATATTTAATTTTTATTTAATTCTAATCAATGAATGAAATATTTTATTAAAAATTGTTAATTAAATCAAATATTATTGAACACTAATTCTAAAATATACTTAACGTAAATTAATTTAAATGTAAATAATTGATCATATGACATCGTTCAACAATTATGTTGAAACGTTTTATTTGTAAACGACAATGTTCGTAATTTTGCTTATAAATAGATCGGATTAAAAAAAAATCATGATATAATAATTATATTGATTTATTATTTATAAAAAAAACTTACGTGTCTTTCACGAGGCTAATATTCGAGTCCTTGCATATTCGATGATACGAAATTAGGATTTATCGTTGCAATTGGATTAACCGATTGTACTTTTTTCCTTGGAATAGGTAATTTGTAACAAATTAATATTAAAAGAAGCAGAAATACACCGATAGCTGCTGGTAGCCATTGTAGAATTGAGACGATTATTGTGAGTGTGTAAAGCGTTGATATCATTTCGAGAGTTGTTGCATTTTGCGTTCCACCCTGTATGACATTTCATTTATTATTTATTAGTGGAGCGAAAATATCTTGTTTTGTTTGATTGCATATTTTTGTTTGTACAGTTATCTTAGAATAATAATTTTTGTTTATTTGCATCAGGGTTTCTGAAACATTTTTATTTGCTGACTGCCAATCATTATTATAAATTCACAAACATTTGAGTTAATTATTGGTCAATGAGCGTTCAATAATTTATTACTTTTGTTAAAATTTCTGCAACCACGTGTGAGGTCGTCAAGAATATTTGTAGAAACCCTAATTTAGATGTATTTATGACTTGGATTTATATCGTTAGATCTGTAATGGTTATAATCGTTATTATTTGTAATTTAATATATTAATATCGTTTACGAGTTCCTGCTATGAATTATTCGAGTGAAATAGTATTATTGTATATTTCATGCGAATATAAATTATAAATGTAAGATAATTATGAAGATAAATGTTACTATTTTGTAAATTATCGATTAAAAAAGGGCGTCGCTAATATTTAATACGCCCTAGAAAAGAAAAATATATAAATAGATATAAAAATAATTCTAAGAGAATAAATTGAAGATTTATGAACTAATCTACTATATGATAAATAATTATAATCATTTAAAAAATAATGAAATGAAACCTCGTTCATCCATATAATGGGAAAGTATCCATTGGTTACGTTGACAAGCAAATCGACCGGATACGGTGTTATCTTCATATTAATTTGCGATTTTCTGTAACCTTCAAGAGGATTACTGCTAAGTGGGTCGATCAATAAGAAACTCGAATGCAATTCCTCGCTTGGATTTAAATCTGGTACGTAATCTAAAACTACGGGATCGGCGTTAAAAAAATGCGGCTCCGATATAAATATTGGGATTTTCTGTGAAAATAAAACAAATATAATGGTCAAGGAGTCAGATTAAAAATCTACAGAAAATCTAAAGATAATCTTTTGAAAATAAGAAAATAACAAAATAAGAGAAATTTAATGTTATTACCATACACATTTATTAAATTTACTATAACAATTTACCGCACATTTGTTAGCGTCCATGAGACCGCTAGGTGGACATTTTATTTCCTTCTTAGAAACTGGACAATAACAATCGGATACGTTATGACTCCAATTTTCGATTGTGATAGTGTAACGCCATACATCGAACTTTCCCTTAAATTTTTCATTTCTTTGATAATTTATAAAAAAATGTCTGCAAAAAGAAATTTTTTACACAGACACAATTATGTGTTACACTTTTTTTTTTTCTACACAGCCGTGTGTTTTCTTACCGACAAATTTCATGAATGTAAATGTAAATACGTTTAGGTGGTTCATCGTAAGAAGGAAACAAAAAACCATCTTTTCCCTTAATAGTGTTGCATTCGTCAGATTTCCAATATGTTTGTGCTCGTTTGTTATTGATCGACGTTAGTTCTCCTAACAATGTTGGATCTCGTAGACCTCTGTTATTTGTCATTGGACCAAACCATGTTCCATTTCTCTTTATCATTAACGTACAAATATGAATTTGTTGGAAGAATTTCAAAGATTTTTCGAGTAAAGAAAATGATTTCGAACTATTGAGGACCAAAAAAAAGAAAAAGAAAACGAAAAAGAAAAAACAACTTAGAATAAAATACAAAATTGAATACCGTGCCTAACATGCTATACATGTAATGATTTTCAACATCGGTGTTCCATAAAATTGGTGGTTTTTTTCCTTTTAGCGTCATACAAATTAATTTCATTTTTTCATGTTTAGTGATATCACAGTACACAGGAATACCATCGAAAAGTAAATCCTTTACTTTAGCTTTGACAAAAAGAGGATTTTTTTCGGGAAACAATTTCTCTACAGCTTCACCGTATTGTTTGAGTAAAGATAACGAAAAACCTGCGAGCTATTTATAAACAAGGTTAATCATTTAATATTGTATAGAAAATAGCAATGTAACGTATTTCAAAAATGAAATAGAATTACGTTACCGTATTTATAGCACCAAGATAGGCCATATTTATAATAACAACTTCATCGTTTTCGGAAAGTTCGCCACTTTCTTCGTCGTTGTAGTAATATGTTTTTTTTATGTTAAAAGTTATTTCATCTCGTATCTCGTTTACACTCAGTATTTCTTTTTCAACGATTATGCTATATATCAAATAATCAAATTACACGCACAAATGACGTATTATACGTATAGTAAAATAAAGACAAGAAATGAAATACAATTACGCGTAAGATTAAAATAAATTATAAGATATATATATATATATATATATAGAAAAATTTGTTAAAAAAACAACTTACTCGTAAACGTAAGGGCCACGTTCTATAAGTCTCGGTCGTTCACCTAGTAACACATCATCCGGATTTTCAACATGGAACAAGTATATAGTGAATGTCATTTTCTCAGGGTATGACCAAATTTCGTAACCTTTTGTATTATCCATTAATAATTTTTCCTATGAAAAAACAAATAGATCAATAATCTTTATACTGCATTATATTTTTTTTTCTACAATTATAAACCTTGTCTCATACCGAATGTATTTTTTTTATTAAATTATTATACAACGTTTGTTTGATCGACAATACTAATCCAATAATAATTAAAATAAAGGCACACAAAAATAAGATGACGATAATGCAACCTTTCGTTGATTTACGCATGTTTCTAAATTTCTATTTTATCCTTTTACAAAAGTATCACATTCCAACCATGCAAGCTTGGTAACATACTAAAGGCATGAAAAATAATGTTGCTATTAAAAGGTAACACGTTCCCTACGTTTCGTTATAATAAAATCTTAATGTCGATAAGTATCGTTGCACATTTTTATATAATTTATTAATTCGACGATCGCATGCTACCATAATACGAACATCGTGTTCTATAATCCTTGCCTAAGAATATTATCACATTTTATTTATCAAATGTTAATCAGTGTTAGCAAATACATTTTATATTTCCCGCTATTTATCCTTTATTTTTATTTTTATCAGATTATAGTCATATAAAAGTCATATAAACAATATTAAATAAAAGAATTTTCATATAGAGAACAACGAGCCAGTCTGAAGGGGAATTTTGAGGAAGACGGGTGCTCCCTCCGTTCGGATATACTCAGTGCTTGTAAACAATGCATATATGTACATTGGTTTAAACATTCCATACCTTTTAACGAATATTAAATAGAAAATAATTTTAATAGGAATATTATTGCACCGGTAAATAGAGATTTGATAAAAATAAATAAAGAATTGAATTGAAAAGTTCATTTGCGAATTGGATGATTTACATATATGTCAGGCTAATTGCATCATTTGATTGTACTCAATTTGATTGATACTAAAAATTAAATATAATTATTTAAAATTTTATTATACAATATAATAACTATATATACTATATATATACTATCATATACCATCAGAGAATAGTGTATTCTGTAATACTATTGTATCCTCATCCCGTCAAGTGCCTACTCTCGCCCTCTGGTGGTCACAGTACTAACTAACACAAGATTATTTTGGTTGGCCGGAAAGTGAACTTTTTAGATACTATATACTTCTATATTCTTTACTAATATTACTAGATTTCTATTTTACCGACGGGTCATTCTCTTTCTCACTCGAGGAAGGAAATCGTTCCAACTTCTCGCTTGTTTTCAAGAACACTTTTTTGTGAAGGGGTTGAGGCACAAAGATGGTGGCCTCCTTTCGTTTCTCTTTCCGTTTATATAGTTTAATTTAAAAACGTTTACTTGGTCACGATTGAGTCATGTCGAAAGCCTAATCGAAGTTTTCTTATTGATTATTGAGAAAAACTGTTTAAATTTTCTCCTGTCGATATATTTTATATATACTAAGTGAAACGCGTGTTATAAAGTCGCGTGCGGTGTGCGTTGTACGTTCATAACCTAATATTTAGAAAGTTTGTGTGTTCAGTTCGGAAATTTCAGTTGAGAAACGATGGCAATGAACGAAGATATTAATTTTGCTGAGCTTTGTAGGCTCTGTTCATTGAAAGGAAGCCAACACTTACATATATTTGATAAAGAAGGCGAACAACGACAATTACATTATAAAATACGTTCCTGCCTTTCCTCCTCGGTAAGTTTCATTTCAAATTTTTCCAAGATAACGAATTTATATCTTTTATTTTATTATTTTTACATATATCTATTCCTTTTTTTTTTTTACTGTAAAACATTCAATTGATCGTTTGTTCTTTTACAATTATATCTAATACTATAACTCATGAATTCATAATTAAGTATGCTTTATATTTTCATAACAAATTTGATTATGCTTTATAACGTATAATGTATAAAAAAAAAAAAGCATAATCAAATTTGTTATGAAAAATATGTGCAGTACTTTGAACCAAAAAAGTGTATTTTCTTTCTTCAATAGAAATATTTAAGATTGATCAAATTCATCATAAGATGATATATCGAATGAAAAATATGTTATTAAAATGATCATATAATAAACAGCCATCTATTATCGATAACAATGTCCAATTATTAAGCTTGAAATCATACGCTTTGGGTCAAGCTGATAAGTTGCATCTTAACGAAGTTGTTAAGAGTATTAGACTGAATCTAATATTATTATATTTGTTACAGATATCTAAGGATGATTCACTTCCAAAAATCATTTGTCAGAAATGCCTTTCAAAATTGGAAATGTTCTATGAATTTCGTTTGACCTGCATAACTACAGAATCGCTGTTGAAAAATTATGCAGATAGTATGAAGAATCTTGTATCGGTAACCAATCTGGTGAGACAAAGACACGAGTACTCTTTTATGCTGCTTTTTTTTATCTTTAATGCTTCAATGCTTTAATAATTCAATTAGAGTACACTTAGGCTTTCATTTTATATTTCTTATGTTTTTATATGAAGTATAACAGTTTACCTTATATTTTAACAATGCAATCAAATAATTTAAGAAACACGCATAAAAGGTTATCAGATTACAATTGAAATTTACCTATCATCGATTCATCTCCAATAACGATGAAGTTTAATACCAAAAAGAGATATTAGCAATGTTTTTATACAATGTATCAAAGTTTGCCTTGATTTTGTAAAAGAGTATGATCAAAAGAACCTAAAAACCTATATAAAGATAAATATATACGCGTTATAAACTTGAAAAGAGCATTAAAGGCAAAAACCTGCACATCAAAATATTAATTTCATTGCCTGGAAAAAAGAAAAGAGAGAGAGAGAGAGAGAGAGAGAGAGAGAAAGAGAGAGAAAATAAGAGAAGAGAAGGAAAGAGGTACTAGACGTCGTTGCGCAGAGTTCACTCGTTCACGGGCCGTTTGTTTTATTATTGAAATGCATTGGAAAAGCAGCTTGTGAAGAATGAAGAGAATAAAAAATCCTTCAGTTTAAACTCATAAAAAGAAAAGCTGTTTTCCTCTCTCTTTCTCTCTCTGTCTCTCTTGTGGTAATAGTGGTAGTTGTGGTGATGATTGTGGTGTGTGGGACATGCTGCTGCTGCACTCTCGTACCTATGCACAAAACGTGGAAGTCAGATTGAGTTGTGGTGGGAGAAGGTGAAGGAAGGAGGTGAGGAATAGGTTGGTGATGTTATGTGGGAATGAAGGAGGAGGAGGAGGAGGAGGAGGAGGAGGAGGAGTGCAAGGGCGCAAAAGAGGGCCGCTTATGCGATCGGTAGCCGGAGGTCCTTGATTCTTTCCCTCTTT